ACTCTTCAGCTAGGTCCCACTTTCATACTCTAGTTCAATTACCCCAAATAACCAGTTCCTGGCTGGGCCTTGAACTTCATTTATTATATTCTCTTTTATTTTTCCCCCATCTCCTCCAGATTTCTAACTTTCCAAATGCCCCTTTACTTTTGGCATAGTATATGCCTTTTATTTCATAAGGAAAAAAGGGAAGCCAGTGGGTGAAATATTTCCATTTTCCTGCTTTCACACTGCACAAATGTTCTTGCATCCATACTCTTCTCCTACTCGCTCTCCTCTTCTGCAATCAAAATGCAAGAAGTGTCTGTCTTCCTTTTTAAGGATAATTTTCCCCTGCCCCCAATGACCATTTTTCATTTTTTTTCCCTAAAATTATCTACTTGTCTTAGCACCATTTATTAAATGTATTTATTCCTTTTCTACTGGTTTAAAATGTTACTTTATCACATTGAAAATTTCCTACATTTATAAATTCTAGACTATTTTGTTCTATGCCTCCATTTGTCAGTTCTTGTGCCAGTGCTATTGTGTTTTAAGTACCATAGCTTAATACTGCATTTATACTTAATAGAAGCTATCATTGTTTATTTTTGGTCTCTGTATTAGAATGCAATTTTCATGAAGTGAGAACCTTGTCATGTCTGGTTACTGTTGGATCTCCAGTGCACAGCAGCTTTTCAATAGCTCTTTGCTCACTAAGTGAATTTCCTCTGTCTTTCATCTTCCCTTATCATTCTGTTCTTTACCATTAGCACTGAAACACACTCTTTCATTTAAAAAAATAAAGCAATCCTCCTTATATTCCATTCTCCCTCCAGCTGCAGCCCTTTACTAGTTCTTCATAGTCATAGTTTTTGTTTTTGTTTTTTTTTTTTGAGATGGAGTCTCGCTCTGTCACCCAGGCTGGAGTGTAGTGGCGCGATCTTGGCTCACTGCAACCTCTGCCTCCCGGGTTCAAGCGATTCTCCTGTCTCAGCCTCCCGAGTAGCTGGGACTACCGGCGCGCACCACCATGCCCAGGTAAGTTTTTGTATTTTTAGTTGAGACGGGGTTTCACTGTGTTAGCCAGGATGGTCTCGATCTCCTGACCTCGTGATCTGCCTGCCTTGGCCTCCCAAAGTGCTGAGATTACAGGCGTGAGCCACCACGCCTGGCCATAGTCACAGTTTTTTAAAAATGTGGTCTACATTGGGTAACCTCATCACATTTTCTTCTCACTTCCTGAAATCTGATTTCCACCTCTGTCACTCTCTGGAAGTTCTCCTATCTTGGGCACCCAGGACTTCTGCTCCTAAAATATTCTGATGTCTTCAAATCTCAACTTAAGCATGATGCCTCCTCTGAGCTCCCAACTTCTGACCGATTTCCACCTGCTTCCTCAAACTACACACAGTACTCTTCCTCCCATGTTTCTTACCTCAGAAAATGACACTGTCATACATCTAGATGTTTAAACAACAGATCCAAGACATCCTTGAGATCTCCCTCTTCCTCACCCTCTCATTTGCAACTTCCAACTCGTCACTAAGAACTTCCTCAATCTATTCTCAGTTGCTTCTCTTGTGTTAGCCACTGTCTTTGCCTGGATTACTACGGCAGCCTCCGAACTAGCCATTGTGCCTCCCACCTTTTCTCACTGAGACCTGCTCTGCACTCCAAAGCCAGACTGAGTGACTGAAATGCCACTCCAATCCTATACTCCTACTTTAAATCCATCACTGGCCCTGACTGACTATGGGCTGAAGCTCAAACTTCAAAGCATGAGTTCCTGTCTCTGGGCTACTCTTTATTAGCTTTATTAATATACACAAGTTATTCCGAGAATTCTTTTTTCATCTCTACAATGCGAATGACAATACTTGCCCTTCCTATTTTGTAACAAAGATGAAATGTCATCAAATATGTAAAATATGGAGTGTTTAATGAAGTAAGGAAAGATGATCTGCTGTTCATGACACATCTGTTGATGAATGGGTTGCTTCTGTCACTCTGTTTCCCTGTTTAATCCCCCCAGATGGGGAAGGGAAGCAGAGCGGTAGGGGAGACACATTCTAGCCCCTTGAATTTGAGGGGATGCTGTCTCACAATCTGGGACCAGTATGCTTAGTGCTGACTTTCTTCTCCTTAAGTGTCTTTATTGCATCCATCCATTCATCCAGCTGTGGAAGAACCACTTCAAATAAGCCCTTCTCAGCATATACTATCCCCCCTGAGGAGAGTATGTTCTGTGAAGTGAAGGAAATAAATACAGATTTTTCTAGAAGGAGAGAAAAAGGAAGGACTTTAGCTTTTATTCATTTATTACTTCAGCAGCTGTCTACATGACTGGGAAAATTCCCTTCACATCTCTCGATGGATTCTCCATTGTCAAAAGCCCCCTTCTTGCTGGCTGACAGAGACTGGTTTTTATGCCATCAGTATTCGATGTTGAATGCAGAAGGAAGTGACACTGAGATCTCTTACTCCACATTCGTCTCTTCATTATTTCTGACATAGATATTATAATGTTGTCACAGATTTAATAGAGGATAATGGTAATACAATTCTAAAGCATTAGGTGTGATCTGGGGTGACTACAGTCTAAACTTTTAATATAAAAGAGATATTCTGTACATGAAGGTAAATGAACTTGAACACTGTCTCACACAATGGCCATCACAAAGGCATTGCCTTCACAATAGGGAGTGAGAAATGAACTTTTCATTACTGGTATGATTGACATCTTTTTGTGTCCATTCATGGCTGCAAAAATCCCAGTGTCATAGTAGAGAACATGAAGAATTTTTCCAACAGCTGTGATGGAGACTTTAAAGCACAAAGTTTTAGAAGCTTGAAGTCAATTGTTTCCAAAAATGCAACAAAATGAAATAATTTTGCACCTTGCTGTTAGTCAAGATGTTTCCTTCCAAGGCATTTTTTTTTTTTCCGCCCAGTGGTATCTAAATGATATATATCTTTCCAATAGCCACAGGTGGTAGGTGTCTGTTCCAAGGATTTCTCTGTAAGTATTTCCAGCAGGCTCCCATGGAGATAAAGAAACCAGAGAGAATCACTGAAGTTGCCCAGCCCTTCAGCTCCCAGCCACTCTAATGTCCTAAAACTAACTTATCTTTACTTTTTCCTTTGTTTTGTTCCTCATTATATTTCATGTGGGTTTCACATCTGGGCTTCTGCTCTTTCCCAATATCCCCAAGGATTAGAAATTTAAATCTGACTGTCTGCTAGTCTCTAACTTGATACTTTGTCTTTTAAGTTGATTTTTTTCAAAATCAGTCTCCCTGACTGTAGTTAAATGAGACAGGGTACCTTCTTTTTCCTCCTAGGTTTCTAGGGGCCCCTGCCACGTGAGTCTGGAGCATTTCCCAGGCTCCGCTTGTCCTGCTAGGGAGATCAGGTGATAGGTCATGAGGACAGAATGATGAGACCCATTATCTGGATGAGAAACCGGGGCTTAGAAAGGTCTTGTGAGTGAGCCAAGGCCACACACATCCATGGTAGAATGAGGACGATACCTGTCCATCTAACTCCTTGAGTCATCACTCTGATTCATGGGAGAGCAGGAAAAATAGTTGGAATGGTGATAGTATTGTACATTTTTCATAACCGAAATGTTTCAGAACACATTGTAAAGAATTTAGGCAGGAGAGAATAGTTTCCTATAACTTTGGTTGGAAGAATTTCTTCCATTAAAAGTGTGTTTCTTGGGCTGGGTGTGGTAACTCACACCTGTAATCCCAGCACTTTGGGAAGTCGAGGCAGGCAGATCATGAGGTCAGGAGATCGAGACCATCCTGACTAACATGGTGAAACCCCGTCTCTACTAAAAATACAAAAAAAAAAAAAAAAATTAGACGGGTGTGGTGGTGGGTACCTGTAGTCCCAGCTACTAGGGAGGCTGAGGCAGGAGAATGGCGCACACCCAGGAGGCAGAGTTTGCAGTGAGCTGAGATTACGCCACTGCACTCTAGCCTGGGCGACAGAGCAAGGCTCCGTCTAAAAAAAAAAAAAAAAAAAAAAAAAAGTGTTTCTTGTGTTTCTCCTTACTTTAACAAAGGTAAAATATTAAAACTTGGCAGGAAAATTTATTGCTATAGAAATAAAAAGAAAGGAAAAAATACACTTGCAAAAGTCTCTTGGAATATTTCAAAATCTTGAAATATATAGTATATTTTTGCAAAACCATGAGCTCTTTAGCAGGTTGATAATAGATTAACTTTCCCTCTATGTTTACAAGAAAAATGAGGACTGTTTTACTTTGTAAATCAGTGTTTCTGAGGATGTTGATGAATTTGGTTTGTCTTTCTCCAAAGATAATGAACTCAAATGGGAAGTCATGAGAAGAATTAAATTATATTATACCACTGAACAGGTGAATCCAAGCTGCATAAACACATCTTATCCATTTTATCTTAGTAACTGACCTAATAAATTGGTCACTTGAGGCATGTTGCTAATAAAATATTGGAGAGGGAAAGAAGTAAAGAGATTTAGGTTCAAAAGAGCATAAGCAGAAAGAGTAAAGACTGCGGCGAGGGGGAAAAAGAGTTGTTCCTGGTTAGACAGCATTGTCAATATTGTTGTAATGATTACCCTATATTGAACTCTAACTCGTCTCCAACCTATGAGAGTTCAACTTACAATTTTTTAACTTTATGATGGTGCAAAAATGAGTCACATTCAGCATGCTTCTCAACCTATGACATGGTTACATTTGATAACCCACTGTAAGTTGAAACTATTGTACAATATTTGGCATCTGTAATGCCAAGTGATTTATATACATTATTATTATTATTATTATTTTTTGCAATAATACTGCAATGTTACCATTATTATTTCCATATTGCAGACAATGAAAAAGAGTTAGAGCAATTTGCCTAAAGTTATAAAGTTACCATGGTAGGGAGCTTCTGACATGCCTCTCAATGATCTCCTCTCCAGGTGTTCAGACCATCTGCTCCTGTATGGGCTGGACTAGTGGCTTGCTTCCAAGGAATATAACATGGTATAAGCAATGGGATATCATTTTCACAATTAGGTTATAAAAGATTGATTTCTCTCCTCATTCTCTCTCTTTCTGGTACTTCCTCTTGCCTTCTGATTTTCTCACTCTGGTGAAGCCAGCTGCCATGTTGTGAGATGCCCTATAGAGTAGCCTATGTGTCAAGGAACCAAAGGAGACCACTAGCTAACAGCTCATGAGAGATGAAGGCCTCTGTCCAACACCCTGCAATGAACTGAATCCATCCAACAACCACAGAAATAAACTTGCAAGTGGGTTCCCCAGGTGAGCCTTCAACTGAGATCACAGCCCCAGTCAACATTTTGATGGAAGCCTGTAAGAGACCCTGGGACAGACGCATCCAGCTAAGTCATGGCAGTTTCCTGAGACGTATACGAAACTGAGATAATAAATGTGTGCCATTTTAATCTGCTATGTTTTGGGGTAATTTGTTACACAATAATGGATAACTAATGCAGTTAGAATATGGGTAAGCTAGAATTTGAACTGAAAACTTATGTGACCCTAAACCCATCGTCTTTCTATGTTACCCTCTAGTCATTCTCAACATTTATCAAACATTTTATATGTGCTGGTTGTCATGTTAGGCACTGGGGATGCAAAGACACAGTTCTCTTGGAGCAAGGAATCTTTATGAGGAGGTAGCATGTGAAATGACTACTTCAAATGTCTTGCCTCAAATGAAGAAGAATGGAACCATGTTTCAAGTATGTGGAAGAGTGTGAATATGGGTAGAGGAGATGGAATATACTTGGCCTATAATGAATAGAGTAGCTGGGCCAGAGGGAAGGTTCTCATCTGTGGCTTGTAAAAAAGGGCTCCAAGGCAAAACTTCATGTACCCTCAAGATATAACTAAAAAAGGCCAATTTTGTTATGTACCTTTATACTAGCATTCTTTTTAATAAAAGTAATGTTAAATGAAAGACTCTGAAAGATAATATCTCAAGATCTCTATGAATTAATATGAATTGATTTCCATGGTATATTCTTAAGTGGGTAAAGCAATGTGCAGAATAGTAGTATATCAGCTATTGAATAAGAAACATTGAAAAGATAAACTGGGATGTAGCCCCTCCTAAGAAAAAACGATTATCTTTGGGGCAAGATAGAGAAGAGGAGTGGTGAGGAGAGAGATAAGCATTATTGTATCTTTTAAAATATTTTATATTGACAAATTATAGTTGTGTATATCTATGGTATACAAAGTGATGTTACGGTTTTTTTCATATGACATGAAATTTTTAAATTAAGGTAATTAGTCATTACTTCAAGTATTTGACTTTTTGTGATGAGAACATTCGAGATGTATTCCCTTAGTGATATTGAAATATACAGTACTCAATTATTAGCTATATTCACAATGCTGTGCAATAGATCTCAAAAACATTTCAAAGTTATTACTCCTATCTAACTGAAGCTTTGTGCCCTCTGATTATCATCTCCCCACTACCCTATCTCTCAGCCTCTGTAGCTACCATTCTTTTCTCTGCTTCTATAAGTTCAGTTGTATTAGATTCCATATACAAACGAGAACATGTGACATTTATCTTTCTGCTTTTGGCTTATTTTACTTTGCATAATGTTCTCCAGTTCCATTCATGTTATTGCAAATGTCACAATTTCTTCCTTTTTAAAGAGTGAATAGTATTCCACTGTGCATACATACCACATTTTCTTTATCCATTCATTCATTGTTGGACACATAAGTTGATTCCATAAATTGGCTCTCATGAACAGTGCTGCATGAACTTGGGTGTGCAGATGTCTCTCTCTCTGGTTTTTCTTTTTTTTTGAGATGGAGTTTTACTGTTGTCACCCAGGCTGGAATGCAATGGTGTGATCTCAGCTCACTGCAACCTCCACCTCTGGGTGCAAGTGATTCTCCTGCCTCAGCCTCCTGAGTAGCTGGGATTACAGGCACCTGGCACCATGCCCGGCTAATATTTGTATTTTTAGTAGAGATGGAATTTCACCATGTTGGCCAGGCTGGTCTCAAACTTTTGACCTCAGGTGATCCACCCAGCTCAGCCTCCCAAAGTGCGGGGATTATAGATGTGAGCCACCATACTTGGCCTGGATGTCTCTTTAGCATACCAATTTTAAATACTTCTTCAAATATTTTCAACCCAAATACCCAGAATTTGGATTGCTCGATCATATGGCAGTTCTATTTTTAGGTTTTTGAGGAACTTCCATGCAGTTTCCCATAATGGCTACACTAATTTACTTTCCCACCAACAAAAGTCTTCCCTTTCCTTTGCATCCTCAAAAATTCTTATCTTTTTTTTTTTTTTTTTGATAATAGCCATTCTAACAGGTATGAGGTGGCATCTCATTGTGGTTTTTATTTGCATTTCTCTAATGATTAGTGATGCTGAGCATTTTTTAATGTGTCTGTTAGCCATTTGTATGTCTTCTTTTGAGAAATGTCTGCTCAAGTCTTGCTTTTAATCAGATTATTTGTTTTCCTTCTATAGAGTTGTTTGAGTTAAGTACTTTGGATATTAATCACTTATCAGATGTAAGGCTTGCAGATATTTTCTCCCAATCTGTAGTTAGTCTCTTTATTAATTGTTTTCTTTGTTGCGCAGAAGCTTTTTATTTTGATGTAATATCATTTTTCTAGTTTTGCTTTTGTTTCCTGTGCTTTAGGGGTCAAACCTAAAAAAAAGTAATTGTTCAGACCAGTGTTATATGGTTTTCTCATACATGTTTTCTTATAGTAGAAATACAGCTTTGGGTTTTATGTTTAAGTCTTTATTTTGAGTTTAGTTTTGTATATGGTATGAAACAAAGGTCGATTTCATTTTTTGGCATATGAATATTTAGTTTTCCCAACTCCATTTATTGAAGAGACTGTTTTCCCATTGTATATTTTTGGTACCTTTGTGGAAAATCAATTGAACCCATAGATGCATGGGTTCATTTCTGTGCTTCCTAGTACATGGCACTAGTTGATATGTCTGTTTTTATGCCAGCACCGTACTGCTTTAACTACTAGTGCTTTGTAGTATAGCTTGAAATCATGTAGTATGATGCCCTCAGCTTCATTCTTTTTGCTCAGGATTGCCTTGATTATTTGGGGATTTTTGTAGTTCCATATGAATTTTAGGATTATTTTTCCTATATCTAAAAAAATAACATTAGGATTTTAATAGGGATTGCACTGAATCTGAGGATCATTTTGGGTAGTATGGACTCTAGCAATATTAATTCTTCCAATTCATGAACATCAGCTATTTTTCCATCTATTTGTATCTTCTTCAATTTCTTTCATGAATGTTTCATAATTTAGGGTGTGCAGGTCTTTTGCCTCCTGGGTTAAACTTATTCATTATTATTTCATTTTTTTGTAGCTCTTGTAAATGGGATCGCCTTCTAGATTTCTATTTTGGAAAGTTTGTTGTTAGTGAAGAGATGCTATTGATTTTTCCATGTTGATTTTGTATACTACAACTTTACTGAATATATTTATCTGTTCTAATAGGTTGTTTTGGTGTATTCTTTAAGGTCTGTTATATACAAGATCATGTCATCCACAAATAGTGACAGTTTCACTTCTTTCTTTCCTATCTGGATGTCTTTTATTTCTTTCTCCTTCTTTATTGCTCTGGCAAGAACTTCTAATACTATGTTGAATAGAAATGATGAGAACAGACATCTTTGTCTTGTGCTGGATCTTAGAGGAAAAGGTTTCAATATTTCATCACTCAGTATAATGTTAGCTGAGGGTTTTTATATATGGCCTTTATTGTGTTGAAATAATTTGTTGAGTTTTTTTAAATCATGGAAAGATACTGAATTTTGTCAAATGATTTTTCTAAATCTAATGAGATGATCATATGATTTTTTTCCTTGATTCTATTAATGTGGTATATCACATTTTTGGCTGTGTGAATGTAGAACCATTCTTGCATCCCAGGAATAAATCCCACTTGATCATGGTAAGTGATCCTTTTAATGTGTTGTTGAATTATTTTGCTAATATTTTGTTGAGGATTTTTGCATCTATATTCAAGAATATTGGATTATATTTTGTTTTTCCTTGTGATGTCCTTGTCTCGTTTTGGTATCAGGGTAAAGTTGGCCTTATAGAAAGAGTTTGGAAGTATTCTTCCTTTTTAAGTTTTGGAAAAGTTTGTAGACAACTAGTATTAGTTTTTTAAATGTTTAGTAAAATTCAGCCAAAAAGTCATGTTGTCCTGGGCTTTTCTTTTTTCATGGGAGACTTTTTCAAACTCATCACTCATTGTTAGTCTGTTTAGATTTTCCATATTTGTATGATTTAGCCTTGGTAGGTCATATGTGACTAGGAATTTATCCATTTCTTCTAGGTTATCCAATGTTGGGGCATACAATTGTTCGTAATAGTCTTATGATTCTTTGTATTTTTGTGGTGTGAAGTGTAATGTCTTCACTTTCATTTCTGATTTTATTTATTTGAGCTTTTTCTCTTTTTTCTTAGTCTAGCTAAAGTTTTGGTTTTGCTTACCTTTTCAAAAAACTGACTCCTAATATCTTTGATCTTTTGTATTGTTTCACTAGTCTGTATTTCACTTATTTCTAGTCTGATCTTTATGCTTTCTTTCTGTTAATATTGGGCTTAGTTTGTTCCCCTTTTTGTATTTTTTTTTCATGAGGTATAATGTTAAGTTGTTTATTTGCACTTTTTTTCTTTTTTGATGTAAACATTTATTGCTATAAATATTCCTCTTATAACTGCATTTGCTGTATCCCATAAATTTTAATATGCTGTTTTCATTTGCATTTGTCTTAAGATATTTTTAAATTTCTCTTTAATTTCTTCACTGACCTATTGATTATTCAGGAACATGTTGCTTAACTTCCATGTATTTGTTAATTTTCTGAAATTCTTCTTGTTATTCACTTCTAGTTTTATACTATGTGGTCAGAAAAAACATACATGATATGATTTCCATATCTTCTTAAATTTGCTCAGATTTGTCTTGTGACCTAACATATGATGTATCTTAGAAAATGTTTCATGTACACTTCAGAAGAATGGGCATTCTGTTGTTAGATGGAATGCTGTGTATATGTCTGTTAGGCCCATTTGGTCTAAAGTGTTGTTCAAGTCCAATGTTTCCTTATTAGTTTTCCTTCTGGAGAATATGTCTGGTATTGAAAGTGGTGTATTAAATACCCCTACGTTATAATTTATCTTTCCCTTTAGATCTTTTAATATTTGCTTTATATATTTATGTGCTCCAATATGGGGTAAATATATATTTATAATTGTTATATCCTCTTGATTAGTTGACCTTTGTAATTATTATATAATGTCCTTCTTTGGATTGAATTTAATTGGCAATCTCTGAACTTCTTGTACATAGACCTTGATTTTTTACTCAGATTAAAACAGTTTTCATCCATTATTTCTCTAAATATGCTTTCTGCCTCTTTTTATCTTCTTTTTCTGGAATGGCCATTATGCATAGGTTATATCTCTTGATGGTGTTCCATAATTCCCATGGGCTCTCTTCATTTTTAAATTTTTTTTTCCTTTTGCTTCTCTGATTGGGTAATTTCAAATGTTTTGTCTTTGAGTTCACTGATTCTTTCTTCAGCTTGATTAGGCCAACTCTTTGTGCCTTCTATTGCATTTTTCAGTTTAGTCATTGTATTCTTTATCTCTCAGATTTGTATGGTTTTTAAAAAAATTCTTCCCATTTCTTTATCAAACTTCTTGCATTGTTTGTGTATTGTTTTCCAACTTTTATTTGCTTTTAAAATTCATATATTTTTGAAGTCTACTGAACTTTTAAGATAATTATTCTGAATTTTTTTCCTGGACTTTCGCAGATCTCTCTTTCTTTAGGGTTTGTTATTGAAGATTTGTTAGTTTCTTTGGGAAGTGTCATGATTTCTTGAGTCTTTGCAATCCCTCTGTCCTTGTGTTGGTGCTTACATATTTGTGGAGACAACCATGTTTTCCAACTTCTGCAGGAATTCTTTGGCAGAGATAGGCCTTCACCAGTTAATCTAGCCTGTGATTCTAGATGGGCCAGCTGGCAATGACCCTGGGCAGGCAGAGCTTACTTTCAGGTTGTTCAGATGGCAGGGCTGTGGCCTTTGCTCTGAATTTGGGTGGAGCAGCTGTTTAGGCTCTGCTATCCAAAAAGACCTCTGGCTGAGTTTTACTATCAGGCTCAGCTGCTGTGTGGGCACTACAATCTCCTCTAATCTGGCTGGGCCACAGGGTGTATTCCCTGGTCAGAAGCTATTGCTATTTGAATCCAGCAATTGGACAGAGTTTCAGAAGGGACTGCACGCTTAAATGAATCAGGCTGAATGGACCAACTGCTATGCTCAGCAGAAGCGCACAGATGAGAATTGCCTCCCTTTCTGGGCAGGGTCTGGGAGTGGACTTTGAGGCTGAGAGAAGTGCTGATTAAACTCTCAGCATGTGGCAGAACTAGTGCCTCCTTCTTGTTGAAATTTGCTATGGTGGTCATCTCACTCCCTGGGGGGGGCCCAGGGTTAGGGTCTATTGCTGGGCCTGGAGGTTACCTGTTTAGGGGTTCAAGCCAGGCAGCACTTCCCACTTCTTCTGGGAGCAACCAGCTTGGCTTTGAGGGTTAGCTTTGCTCTTAGCTGGTATCTCTAATTGAGTGCCATTACTGACAGGTACACTGAGCTTTCACCAAAACCTGAGTGCTGATCTCTGCAGATTTCACCTCCTTGCTTTGTTTTCACCAGATCCCACTTGGTCTAGTCATGCAGTTTCACTTACATTCCTTAAGAGGTGGAGTGGGCTTTCTGGGAAGCATCTTGGAATGTTGGGAAAACTGGATGTTCACCTTCCTGATTCTCTTTTCCAACTGTAGAGACTGAGGGATTGGAGAATCCTCTCTCTCCGTGTGGTACTGTGCTGATTTGTGGGAACAGGAAAGGCAATATAGTCCAAGCAAGACTGTTTCTTAATACTCTTTCATAAGTATTTAGTTCCATGGAACACACAGGTGACTCAGACTTATTTCCACATTTTGGCATTTTCACTAAGATGTTTTTGTCCGTAGATTGTTGCTGGTTGATGTCTCTGTTGAGGGGAGGGTGTGGAGAAAGGTCTGGAATCTCCTATTCCACTTTGCTGATGTCACTCCTACATATAGTTTTGACATTTGAACTTTGTAAATGTCTTATTGTACTGAAAGAAAGGCAAACTTTAAAGCCAAAAATAAATTGGAACGAATTAATCAAATTGTTTATAAAATTAAAGAGAAGAATTAACTTCAAGTGACCATTGAACACAATTCTCTAACTGACCTTGCATATTCTAAGAACAAGTAGAATTGACTCTTTAGTATTTTTATATTAGAAGCAACACTGGTATTGTAATTTTGAAAACTATTTAATTTTCATATGAGGTAAAGCAAATAAATTATGCCAATATTATCAGGAAGCAAGATTTTACATAGAAGAGAAAAGAAATGTGTATGATAAGATGTGCTTGCCTCCATATTACATAATTGACCCTAAACCTGAAATTGACCATTTCTCCAAGCAGCTCTGGTTCCTCTTAATGGGACGTGGTATTTAAAAACCACAATTTGGGCACTAGAGAATACCAAAAAAAAAAAAAAAAAAAAAGTCCCATTTATGTCTTTTTATTGCCCAAGTTTCTGGAGGCAGCTGTTTTGGTTTAGTTTTACCTTTAGCTGGAAATGTGAGTAATAGGGGATGAGTTTAGAGGGGTTGAGTACTGTCAGATGGTAGAAGACATGAAATGTCTATTATAAATCTGGATGTTAGCTGATCAGTGAAAGAGAACAATTAAAAGTTAGTGGGACTAAGGTGCTTGCTACTGACAGCAACAAAGAATAATGTTTAGTCTGATGCACACTGTGTACTTAAGTTATGTCATCTGAATCTAACACTGGAGTTCATAATTTCTTATCTGCCAATGTTTTATAACCTACTTATAGAATGAGAACAAAACCTTTATATAACTTTGCAAATTATGGTGGTGTTTCTTGCTATGCCATTGTACCTACTTGAGATCCTAGTCTTGGCTCAGCAGAATTTTAATTTTATTTTGTTACCAAATTAATACAATTTCAGTTAAATATGTATTGAATGTTAAATATGTGGGTAAAAGCTATGCTAGGCAACCTGACTCTTGCACTAATCCATAATGTCTCCAAATTTGTTTCTTAGGAAGTATACCTGTTTTGTTGTCACTCCCTATTTTATAAATTATAAAAATAATACATCTAGGAAAAAGAGTAATTGAAATACTACAGGGCACAATGGTTTAAAAAATAACAGTCCTCTTGGGTCAGGCACAGTGGCTCATGCCTGTAATCTCAGCACTTTGGGAGGCCGAGGCGGGCAGATCACCTGTGGTCAGGGGTTCGGGATCAGCCTGGCCAATATGGTGAAACCCCATCTCTACTAAAAATACAAAAATAAGCTGGGCGTGGTGGTAGGTGCCTGAAGTCCCAGCTACTTGGGAGGCTGAGGTAGGAGAATCGCTTGAACGTGAAAGGAGGAGGTTGCAGTGAACCGAGATCACACCACTGCACTCCAGCATGGGCAATAGAGCAAGACTCCATCTCAAAAAACAAAAACAAAAAACAACAAAAAAAGTCCTCTTATCCCCACTCTCATTTCTTACAAGTTTTTTAGTTTTCCTTTGGTTACCACCTAATTCTAAATAATAGCTCTTGTAGACACCCTTGTTTGGGAAATTTCCATTTAACTCACCCACGCATACTAATTTTACCTTTCTATCTATGTCTCCCTTGAACTTACTGGCTAAATTATTATTTTGGGATTTATGGATGATTTTTATAACTTTAAATAATATGCCGAAACCTCTACTTTTGGTTCTATCTGTTTTAGAGATCATCTCTTAATTCATCATTATTTAGAAATAAATTTAAACCTCTATATTACTTGACATTTTTTTTTCTCACTTCTCTGATTCGTAAATTGGGCATCAGCTTTATAATTATTTTTATTTTTATATTATCCAAGTTTTGACACTGATATTAAGTAATGTAATTATATAAGTGTGTTGTCCATAGGCTTATTCAAAATACTAGAAATTAATAAATACAAGTTATATCATTACAATATATAAATATTATTTACAACAGAACTAAATAGTGTGATTAAGCCTATGGAGAAAATACATATAATTTTATGTTATTAAACTTGTGCTGCTTGTAAGAGAATGTGCCAAGTGCCAATGCCAATGGGATTTTGTTTTTTTAATATGCCATAAATTACTTAAATTACTGCATATTTTAGTGTGCTTTGCTTTTGATTCACGACTTTCTTGTTAAGGGGACTTATAATTCCATTTCTTAGTTTTCTTTTTTGAGAAAAGAAGTTGTACCATTTTTAGCAAAGTACTTAGATCTTTCAACTTTTCCTTAGATCATAGTAGTTGTTGAATAAGATGTATTTGCTTTGAAGAAACTTTCTTCGGAACACTGCAGCTGCTGGTTCTAATTTATGTCAAGTTGGTATTTTTCTTTATTGCATTCTGTAGTAGTCTCCTTGTTTCTTAAGAGTCCATGACTTCTTATTTTCTTTCTTTCTTTCTCTCTTTCTTTCTTTCTTTCTTTCTTTCTTTCTTTCTTTCTTTCTTTCTTTCTTTCTTTCTTTCTTTCTTTCTTTCTTTCTTTTTTTTTTTTGAGACAGAGTCTCCCTCTGTCACCAAGACTGGAGGGCAGTGGCACAATCTCGTCTCCCTGCAACCTCTGCCTCCTTGGTTCAAGGGATTCTCCTGCCTCAGTCTCCCAAATAGCTGGGATTATGAGCATGTGCCACCATGCCTGGCTAAATTTTGTATTTTTTTTTTTTTTTTTTTTTTTTTTTAGTAGAAACAAGGTTTTGCCATGTTGGCCTGACTGGTCTCGAACTCCTGACCTCAGGTGATCCTCCTGCCTCAGCTTCCCAAAGTACTAGGATTATAGGTGTGAGCCACCATGCCTGGTCGACTTCTTATTTCTAGATTCCATTTTTATTTACAGAAGTACTACATCCTTTAATAATTTTTTTCATAGTGTGTTAGGTAAACTTTATGACCTTGCATATATATATTATGGCCTTGTTTGTATATAATGAGAATATTTATTTTCACTCTCTGTAGCTTTTCTAAGTATAAAATTCAAGTTTCTGTATCATTTTCCTTCAGAACATCGAAGGCATTGCACCATTGCCTTCCAGCATCCAGTGTTGTTGCTGAGAAGACTGCTGCCAATTGGATCTGAAATTTTCTTTGGTAGGTGACCTGCTTTTCGTTTTTCTCTGACAGCTTCTAGGATATTATTTTTATCATTGGTGTTCTTAAATTCACGAGCATTCAATTAAGGCCTTTAAAAAAGTTTTAAATATCCTGCTAGGTTGTGGTTAAGCCCTGTCAATCTGCCAAGCTCTGGAAAAATTTCTTCCATTTTTCATTGACTATTTTCTCCTCTTCATGTTTGCTTTTCCTTTTTACCTGGAACTTCTATTAGCTAGTTATTGATCTGCTGGTTTATCCTCTATATTTCTTACTTCCTTTTAAAAAAAATCTCGTATTTCTAATTCTTTGTTATTTTGCTGAACATTTTAGAAGATTTCCCTAATAAGTTCTTTTTAACACATTGGATTTGTTTTAATTTAGACTATTATATTTTTAATTTCTAATGCATACCTTTTTAAAAATAGGGATAGAGTCTTGCTATGTTGCCCAGGCAGATCTCTAACCTGGCTTCAAGTGATCCTCCACCTTGGCCTTCCAAGGTGCTGGGATTATATGCATGAGCCACCACACCTGGCCCTAATACTTATTTTTAAAATCAACTTCTTATTCTTGTTTTGGTGGTAACTTATTCTTGTTTTTTATATATATTGTCCTAAATTTCTCTGAGCGTATTTTCATTATTGATCTTAAAATCTCCCTTTCCTCTGAAGTCAAGTATTGTCTGGCTCTTCTCTGTTATAGCTTGGATGATTGCTTCCTCCAAATCTCATGTTGAAATTTGAACTCCAGTGTGGGAGGTGGGACCTAATGGAAGGTATTTGTGTCATGGAAGCAGATCCCTCTTGAATGGATTGATGGCCTTCCTCAGGGCTGAGTGAGTACTCACTCTATTAGATCCCAGGAGAGTTAGTTATTAAAAATAGCCTGGAAACTCCCCTGCTCTCTTTTTGCCTTCCTCTCTTGCCATGTGGTCTTTCCACAGCTGGCTTCCCTTTGCTTTCCACCATGAGTGGAAGCAGCCTGAGGCCCTCATCAGATGCAGATGCCCAATCTTGAACTTTCCAGCCATCAAAATTGTGAACTCTTTTCCTTTATAAATTAATCAGCCTCAGGTGTTCTTTCAGAGCAACACAAAACAGACATTTTCTTCTGAACTGCTGATTTCCTTACACATCTCCTTGTCCTTCGTTGTCTTTTGGATTTGTGAATTAAGCACAAGGCGTGTTGTATGAATGGTTGGTATGCATTTCCTCTGCTGTCATGCAGGTCTGTTTCTCTGAGATGCTTTGTTCACTTCCAAATGAGATGGCTACTTGGAAGCTTTGGTATATGGGTGGCTGGTCCATAGCAGGCTTTACATTGGGGCTCTTGGGATGGGAGCAGATCTTGCCCCTTTTGAAATGCCAAAATAAGACAGCCTTATTTGCAATGCCAACATCCACCCTTGAGGTTCTGGCTTGGCTCAGGTATGTTTCCATGTCTAGAAGGCGCTTCAGTTTATGTAGGGAGTAAATTCTACTGATGCCAGTGTCTCTGCCCATTGGGATGTGGATAAAAAACTATGCTTTAGGCATAGTTGTGTATAGAATGTGTGGGAATCACTCTGATTTCACTAAGAAATCCTTCTGTCCAGTTTTCCCTCATCAATGCTGTACCTTCCCTAGGGATGAATTGTGAGGCAGGACTTGATGGACATTTTGGGGGACCGCCCTTCAGCAAGTTCTTCACAGGTAGTGTGGCTTCTCTCTTTACAAGGTGGGGAGCTTTATACCTTTGCTCTCAGCTGTAGTCAGAAAACAACAGAACTGGAGGCAATATGATTAGTTATCTTTTAACATCTGTGTGCACAGAGAAAGAGTACTGTATGGTCTCTCCACAGCCTGGACTCTCCCTTTGGACCTGGATCTCCCAAGGTTAGAGACTAACATTTTCATCTTTATTTCTGTCTGCCAATGATGCTGATGCCAAACTGAATTTCAGGAAGTGTACCAGGAGGGAGGGTACAAGAAGACCGGGCAATTATGGAGTGGCTGAGGAAAGAAGGGACCGGAGGAGGAGAGAGAAGACTTGGGTGCAATGCTGAGCTGAATGGAGAAGAACCTGGTGAGTTCTTCCTTGAGGCCCAGGTTGTGATACTATAATTCTCTAATTACCTCAGAGCTAAAACTATTTTATTTGTCTAGAAATGACATGGCCAATGCAATAGACTTAACTTTGTAAAGTGTCAAGCCTTTGGGCAAAAGGAGAAATAAAAAAGACAAAGCCCGCTGGTTAAAGACAGAGAGGGTCCTGTTTGTTGATGGGCTGTGAAGTCCACTCTGAGTGCAGTTGGCTCCCCATCTCCAGCTGCCTTATGTGTTTATTCCTTAACTCTGAAAACGGGAAATTGTGTTCTCCGGTCAGGAGAAACCTTCCTGACAGTTGCAAGTGCTCCACAGGAGTGTTTGCAGCAGGGCTGTGCAGGCGTGGCGATTAGGCCCTGCTTTGCTAGCTGACAGACTGTCACTCCCGGGGGTCATCCCAGCTCCAGCAGCTCTGCAGGGAGAAACTGAGCTGGACAGAATGGGAAACGCTCTCTCTCCAGAGCCTGTATTAAAGAACGGGTCCTGCCATTTGTGGAAGCTGCCACCTTCTCTGTGAGGCTGAAATAACGGAGAAAATCAGTTCATGTTTTGGTAGAGAAAATGGCATATGTTTTCTGTACTATTTTGGCACTCATAATTCTAGAATGTGGCTGGATGAGTTGGTTTCCAGATGCCTGAGGACATTTGTATTAAGGACCGAAAATAAAATAATAGAAACTAGCATTTTTGTTGCACCCACTATTACAAGCTCTGTCACAGAGTGCTTTCAGCACACTGTCTCATTCAAGCTTGCCTCCTTCAGAGTAGGTTTTACTGTCTCCATTTCACATGCATGTAAGTGGAAAACTGGCATTTGAATGCAGATCTGTCTAGCTTCAGAATGCAACTTTTTCCTCCATTAAAACCCTTGTTTTTTAAAGTAAAGAGTACTTGGCAAGCAGTAGGTAAAAATCCCATTTTACTACTGATTCGATGATTTTAGGTGAATTAACCTCCTTGAGCTTCAGATTTTTCACCTGTAAAATAGAAATAATAATAGTACTAAGTTTGTAATCTGTTGTGTGTGTTAAATGACTCTATATATCTATCTGTTATCTATCTATCTATCTATCTATCTATCTATCTATCATCTATCTACCTACCTACCTACCTACCTACCTATCTATCTATCATCTATCTATCTGCGTACAATCTGCCCATCTCATAACTATGACTGGTACATAATACACATTCAATATGTTTTTGTAGAATAAATGAATGAAAAACAATAATAGTCTTATAGGACATCCATTTCCATGTAGCAAGGTTTCTCAACTTTGGCATTTTGGACTGGGTAATTTTTTGTTGTTAGCATCTGGCTTATGCATTATAGGATATTTAACAGCATCCCTGACCGCTACCCACTAGATGCCAGTAGCAGAACCCTCCTCCCCACAATCATGGCAACCGAAAATGTTCCAGTCATTGCCATATGTCTCCAGTCATTGCCCTACCCTCTGCTAAGAACCACAGCCTCAGAGAGAATCAATTCTGTCTTGGACACCATAGAGCAGCAATCCGTAAACAGCAAATTTTTTACATAGTCAATAGCAAATAGACTTTGTGGGCTACTTGGTCCCCATTGAAACAATACAACTCTGCCACTGTAAAGCATGAAAGAAGTCATAGACAATATATAAACAAGTGAGCACTACCACATTCTGTTAAAACTTCATTTACAAAAACAGGGTGGCCCCTAGGCTGTAGTTTGCTGACTCCTGCTACAGAGAAAATGCAGAGTGAGCAGGTGTGGAGTCCCCTCTTTAAATATGCCACACAGTCACTGTGTCCTACGGGCCTGGGGCTGGCCTTGCATATAGGTAGAGGGGACTTTGTGAACATATAGACTGTGAGAAGGGCCCCTAAGATGCCCTCTGCATCACAGGCTAGGTGTTGTGCCTCCAATATTACCAGGGAAGAATGACCTTCAGGGATGTGAAGCATGGCTTTGACCAGTCCTCTTCTAAAGAGCACATTCCTACAAGAGGGCTGGAAGATAAAGCTGTTATTAGTGAGCACTACCTATATGGGAAAGAGTTTCTCTATTCAGAGGGATTCTTAATTCTCTGTAGTCACTGAACCTAGGACAAGGAGGTGAGACAGGAGAACAGACCTAAAAAGAAGGGACTCTATAAAAGTGTGCAGCAGGGGCCCTGAGCACAAACTTGGCTGACAACTGAAACCTGCTGATAAAGAACATCTCCAGTTTAAACAGAAGAGGAAGTGCCGCAAAAGTCGACTCTATTATTTGGCAAGGGTGTAATTAGGCTTACAAATGGACCTTTATTAATAAGGAGCACTAAAATTCTTCTCTAAATAGTACCCTGCAACCATTGTGTCAGCAGCCTGCAGGCTAAAGCATGTCCCTTATTCTCATGATGCTGTATGCATCTGTCTCAATAGAATACCGAAATTAGTCTACCACAAAAACACTCTCACAGTGCCACAGTGAGAGTCCTTGCCAAGTGCAAACAAGATGGTGGGGATGGAAAGGAAAGGGAATGAAATAGATTTGTTTGGGATTCATTGCTCATTGAGTGATTCATTGAGCTCATATCCACCACCTGTTAAACAAGGAAACATTTAAAAACATCTCCGACGTGATGGTATGCTTTCTTTTTGGTGTTACTATCGTTGGTTCTCTTGTAGAAGGAGAGGCCAATGAGATGTAAACAGTAGCCATGGGAAGCTTCAAGAAAAGTTCTTCCAAGGACTGACTTAGTTGGTAGATCCCTTTTGCTGGTCTGTTCTATCCATGTGTTTCTGCCTGAAACTTGGTTGTAATGGCTGGAGTTTTTGCAGCCACCCTGTGGCTGGGTTGCTAATGACATTAAAAAGGTGTCTGAGTTGCTAATTACATTATAAAGCTGCAATCAAGATCTGGATAACACATCCTTGGACTTATCATTTAAGAGTGAAAAACAAACCTATCTTCTTTAAGAAACTATTTTGAGAGTCTTTATTATGTTGACTGAGGTATCTTAAAGATGACTACAAATTCTTTTCCACTTTTGCCATAGAGAGGTAGAATTTGTTTCCCTTATCTTTAAATCTGGGCTAGTCTTCTGGCCTGTTTGGACCAAAAGAATGTGATAACAGTTCTACAGTGCATCTTCTGGATCTGGGCTTTAAGGGGTCTGCAGTTTCCACCTTTGCCACTGATAGCACCTCTTCTTGGAACCCAACTGCCATGTTGTGAGAAGTCCAAACCACAGGGTGAGATCACACAGAGAAAAACTGAGACACTCCGATCCACAGATTCAACTATACTCTCAGCTGATAGACAGCACTGACTTTCAGCCAAATAAGTGAACCTTCTAGAATGTTCCAACCCAGTCAATCCTCCAGATAACTGCAGCCCTTGCCAATACCACATCAAACCAAAGAATCACATAGCTGAGCCCAGACTTCCAGATGATACCACCCAAAGCATCAGATGAGTGAGTCCTTACAGAAGTACTAACCCATCAAGTCTCCAGATGACTGCAGCCCTAACTGATACTAGTTAGAACAGAAAAACCACCCAGCTAAGCCCAGTCAACCCACAGATTCATGAAAGGTGATTCATAGTGGTGGTCGTTTTAAGGCACACCAATATGATGACTGAAAATAAGAACCATGCAGGGATAGAATGAAGAAGGAAAGATGGAAAAGGCAATCTCGTTAGAATAATTCTACCCATTGGCCTTGTGAACATTGCCTGAAATTTATTCCCCAATTCTGGGCTCTGTTTAGCCACAGTCACTCTTAAAAACTTCAAGTCTCATGCATACATTCATAGGAATATGGGGATCTAATTTTCAGCTTAACTGAATGTTTCAAAAGCCCCTGAACTGAGAAACAAACATAAAAACTGGCCAAGTGGTAAATCTAGAAAACCAAAATTGAAATAATCCTGTAATCTGTCAGCATGAGCCTGGGTTCTCCTAGAAGATAATTCCTGTTGAAGATGAACTGATGGGTGAGAATTACAATGCCCACAGGGAAAGCCAGTGTATGACTTCTTGTACATTTGGTGAATGAGAAAAAAAAAAAAAAAAAAAAGAACATAACCCAAACTAATAGGCAATAGAGAAAGAAGAAAGGGCCTTTGAAATTAATATGTTTAAAATATTGAAAAAGATAAAGAAAGGATTAAATTAGTAGCATTCATAATGGGATTTCATGAAAAAAAAACAGGCATAGTTGAACAAAAAACTAGATAGAAATTCTAGAAATAAAAAATAATTTAAATTTAAAAAGTCTCAATGGATGAAGAATAGACTCTATATGTATGTATACATATATATTTTTACACACACACACTCTCTTTCTCTCTCTCTCTGTGTGTGAATTTGAAGCCAGATCCAACAAATTACTTAAGGAACAGCACAAAGAACTAAAATGATGCAAAGTAGAAAAGAGAAGTTAAAAGATACAATCGGAATTCTAGGAAGATAAAACAAAGTGATTGCAGTGAGTTGTGTAATTTTTCCAGAAATATAGAAACACTTGAGTCCCTGAGTTGAAAAATTATTCTGAGTCTCAAATAGCATTTCCTGCACAAGTGAGTTGTTGACTAAAGTGACATATGTGTATACATATATAGTTTTTTCTTTGTGTAAGATACTGGCTTCATTATAAAAGAATTCACTTTCATATCATACCTTTTATAATTTCCTCTGATGATGGGACTGGATCTTCATTTTATTTTTCTGCTTCATTTTCTCTGGCCCCTTTCCCCACATTCATGCCCTTTCTCTGCGTCCCTCTTATCAGGAATGCCCACTCCCATTTCCAATGCCTAGCCAAGCTCTGTCACCTTCTAGAAGCCTCAACTGACCACCCCAGGGCAATGTCTCTATTTTCTCTAAAATTTTACAGCACTAAAGTCTGTTCACTTATTTGGCTTATAGTCAAGTGACTTTTCAATTAGCTCTGCAAGATCTTTAAGGTTGGCAGCCATAGTTTACATTTCTGTGACTTAGTTCTCAATAAATGGTACTTTGTTAATTGATGGCCAAAATTCCAAAGATTTGTGAGACTAATTTTTGGGAGGATGGAAGAGATAGCAATGGGAAGGTTTGCTAAAAACTTGACATAAGAGCATGATGTTATTTCTGCTGCGCCTCTACAAAAATAACAACTACTACGGCTATTATTACTACATCACCATGGCCACTTTTACTACTGCCATTAGTAGTATTGCTATGACCACCAATGTGTAATGAAG